TTTTTTTGGCTTACAAAGCGACGTTTAATAATTCGTCACCGTTTCACGAGTTAGAATATTTTTTCTGTCTTTCTTTTTTTCAGGGGGGTGTTGTAGTTTTTGTATTCTTTTCCTTTTTTTTTCTTTTTTTTTTTAATAATTTCATTTCTTTCCTATAATAATTACGGACAAATATTATCATATCGTCGCTCGAGCACGATCCCGATTTAAAAAATCGCGCGTGGGCGTGCTTTTTTTAATTATAATTGCTATTATCGTCTACTACTTCGTGTATTGTCGGATAATATAAAAAACGATTCGCATATTTCTTCGGAAAATTATTCTACCATCAATTAATCGTAATTCTTTTTGTATAATTATAGGTCCACCTTAATGTGCTATCAATCTTGCCAGAGAATAATTGCTTGTAATTCAGAGTTTCTTTTTACTTGTTACTTTTTTAGTTACGAGTAGGCACTTAACCACATGTTTCTGTGTGTTCGGCATATTACTATCTGTTACAATTGAGAATTACAACGGTGCCTTTCTCACTCTCTCCCTTTTTCTTTCTCTCTCTCTCTCTTTCACATACATACATTCACATACTCACTCACATTCATTCGCATCCTAATATTCTTTCATAATTGCATTGTCTTCCTTCCTGTTATTTTTCTTTTTAATGCATCTTCCACGAAAAAGAAATATCTTTTTTATTCATCGTCATTCATTCTAATTGCACGTATACTAACGCAATCACACGTACAATACACAGGCGTACACAACATAGGACACGTTTAAAGCGCATACCAGTTTTATTATTTCTTTTTTTTTTTCTTTTTTTTTGTTTTGTTTTGGGAACTTTTAATTAGCACCGTGCTTCTAAAGCATATCCTGATAGTAAAAATCATCATCCCTGCCTTAGCACAAACACAGAGGTAGTGTAACCAACCGCCTACTTGTTTTATATCTTCTTCTTTTTATTTGTTCGTTTATTTGTTAATTGCCAATCTGTTCTTCTATTTTTCGTTCTTTTTTTCTTCTTCTTCTTCTTCTCTTTTTCATACAAACAGCGAGTTTGAGCTTCAGCCAGTTAGGCTCCGTTATATCTCGTTGACTATTTAATTATTCGACAAAAATGTGTGTGAAAGGCATTAAAAGTTTCTTTTTTTTTTTTATCGCAAACCACCCTTTTCTTTTCTTTTCTTTTCTTTTTCTACTTTGTCATCTTTACATCAGTCTTTTCAAATCGACCGAGAAGTAAAAAGTTTAGTACGCGTGTTCTTCCACCTTTATTTATTTTCTTCTTTTCTTCTTTTTTGGCTTGAATAATCTATCGCAATGAAGATAGACAATGTTTTTTTTCTTTTTTCTTTTTTTTTTGAGATTATTTCTAACATGGTACGATAATAATTATTATAACGCGTTAGGTATATTTCATTTTGCTATCGTGTCTATATTATTTAATGCGTGTGTGTCTCTCTGCTGTGTGTGTGTAACAATATTAAACGTGTATAGAGAATAAAAATTATTTGAAAAATAGTTGCAATCGTATATATATATATATGTGAAGAAAAAAAAAAGAAAAAGAAGAAACGACGAAGAACTTGAATTAAAAAAAAACCAATGGGACTTATTCGACGACGGTACAACACAATTTGCATTAAATCTTTTTTGTTTTTCTCTTTTTTCTCTTTTTTTTTTTCTCTCTCTCTCTTTTGTCGTTAGCATCTATTTAGACGTATACACAATTGTTGCAACGAGAAAAATATTGATAGTAGGTGTATATTATTTTATAATTATTTCTTTCCCCATGACTTTCCTTTCACTTATTAGCGCACTTGTGTAATTAAAACAGAGTTATCAAGTTACACATACGTGGAATTACAAGAGGAATACACGTATATGCGTTTAATGTATGTAAATGTATTTGTTTATACATTTATACATACACATATATCATAAATATTAATATATTCTCGCGTACGTAAAGATGGAAAATGAACACGCGTCCATCTAAAATCTAATGGTTCCTATAAGTTCTTTTCAAAGATCGTATTCCAATGTGTTTTAATAATGTAGTATGAAAGTAAAAAATACACCTTTGTGAACGAACACGTATACATATACACACACTCATGCATCTCCTTCTCGTACATCCTCTAACACAAACTATCTCTTTCTCTTTTTCTCAAGTGAGCACGATCAGGAAAAACATACTGATTATATCAACACATTCTTGCAACTATTCGTCTATTGAAATACGATCATAATTTTCCTTTTTTACTGTTTCTTCGTGACTTACGAATACATATATAGATAAATAGTATATAGCTCGTTATACAAATAATACGAGCTTAATATTTTCTTTTCATTTACTTCTCATCGTTTTTCTCCTCTTCTTTACTTTTCCTTTTTTTTTTTTTTTTTTTTTTGAGAGAAATTCCTAGCCATACTCAGTCTTCCCTTTGCTCAATATGTGTTTTTTTTTTTTTTAAACATAAATCATACGTTTTGTTAATTTCATATATCCTATATTGATATTCGTAAAAAGTAAAAGCACACAAGATGATAAAATAATTCAAATAGATGGTTATAACAATTTGTCAAATATTTTAGAAAATAGTTTTAGATGTTATCGATAGAAAGTTTCGTATAAAACTGTAGTTTAGTTAATGGGTCTCATTGACATTTTCAATTGAGAGCATTTAATGGCAGACAGTGTAGGGAGATATATCCCTCCCAGTTTGTCGAGTTTCCTTTAAAATTGGAGGGGGATATTTCTACTATGCGTCATTAATATTCTCAATTGTAGCTATTTACTTTTTATCCTTCTTCTTTTTTTTCCAAACACTTCGTATAACATTAAACAAAGAGGAAACAAGTAATGGCCGGATTAAATGCACTAAACATGAATTCCGAATCCCCATTGTATTTTTTTCTTTCTTTCCAAGATTTGTTTAATACTCCCAAGAAAAAAAAAAAAGAAAAAAACCCTTACAACTGTAGTTCTACGTAACGAGGAATGTTATCAGTGTAAAATGGAAGGAAATAAAAAAAAAAAAATAATGAATCGATCGTTTATCGTTTCTTAAAGTTCTTCAATTATGTAGTTTCAAAATGAAATTAACTTATAATATATATAAAACTCGAATAACACGAATACTAGAGATTTTTCTTTAAATTTTTGATCGAATACGCAAAAATATTATTTTTCCTTTTGGTTTTTAACAAAAGAAAAATATTTATAAGTCATCTATTTCATTACTTTTTTAAATAGACGAGTTGTGTAAGTGAAATTAATATTTTAAACGAACGATACTTTACAAGACAATTATATCCTATCTCTTTTGTTATATTAAATATCAAACTATAAAAAGAAATTGTTAATGTTAATTAATATAGTATCGTGAATCGATTATACATATATAATTGCTACTTTATTTTATATCTTTTTCTCTTTTAACTGGATGTTGTGTTTTTCTTTTCACTCTTTCTTCTTCTTTTTTCTTTCTCTTTTTGTTCACTTGCTACAAAACATTTTAGTGAACGAGCAAACTTCGTTATATTAATGGCAAATAGTTTAAAAAACATCTACGATGCTACGAGTGTGACTGTTGTATAACAATTTCTAATTCTATTCACAAGCATACCTATTACACGCTATAAAGATAATGAGGTGCTTGTCAATTTCATGATTTTTTTTTTCGTACCCTGAATCTCTCACTAGATACTAAAACTATTTAAAAATTGCTTCTTTTTTTTTTTGTTTATATTTATTCATGTATATATAAAACTGACGTGTAAATCTTACTTCCTTATTAGTTAAAATACTAAATAGAGAAAAAAAAAAAAAAGAAATAAAATAACAAAATAAAACAAACGAGCGACAATGCAGCAACAAGTAATTAACATAATATGCAACAATTGCATGTTTCAATGTTATACTTCGCGTTCAAGTGAGTTTGAATTAACTGAATACTCGAAAAAGTATTTTCCAAGAATAGTTTAACTGTCAGATGACATCAAATCGAGATGTGTGAAAGAAACATTATTTATAAAAAAAAAAAAAAAAAAGAAAAAATTTACTATTATTTCAATTGTTACGTGTAATTAACTGCGACAAGAATGCATGTGTGTTTGATGATACTTTGTTAATAACTTTTTGAACGCGAAATGTCAGTGTATTTCGTAAGATAATAATTACTTAGAAAAGTTAGGAAGTGCTGGTTCTTTGAAACGTACACGTTATATCTTTCCATTACACATTTGTACAAGAACACGTCTTAATAGTTGTTTAATGAATCATGATACGGTATGACGAAATCTTAGCAAGGATCTGGTAATGGACATGCATTCTAGTTTCAAATACTTATAGAATGAACCGTAATATAAAAATACAAATTGAAAATTTTAGCTCTTTTCTCATCGATCAGTTATTTTCCCCCTAATATCTAATTTTTCTCTCTTTTTTTTTTTGTTTTTTTTTTGTTTTCTTTCATCATCATCGTCGTCGTCGTCGTCGTCGTCGTCGTCTTCTTCTTCTTCTTCTTCTTCTTCTAATGCTCAAATAACAAGTGTTATATTAGTCGTACTCGTTTGTTATTGATAATGTTACTTCCTCTCGTTTGTTAACACGACACAATCATCATCAGAAGAAGAAAGTGATCGCCTAGAATCACTCGCTAGATATATTTTTGAACAGATGATTCTGTTATCGTTAATAGTTAACTTCCTCTCACACGATTCTCTTTTCTAATTAGCTAAGGTTTAAAAAGAGAATAGTAGTAACTAATAAGGATCAAGATATGAAAATCTTGAATTGAGAATAAAAGAATTTCTCAAAATACGTGCATCGTTATTAGTATCACCGATCACTTGCAATTTCATATATATATACATATAGATATATATATATATATATATATCTATAGTGATACTATTTTGTAATCTTATCATTCTAACCACGCATATACAAATAGCCAACAAGTGCTAAAACACCCCCACCAACAATTGCTGCACCTATGCCTATTGTAAGGGGCTTAAATAATGACCTCTTGAGTTTTTGCCATTCTTCGACTTCCTTTTGCCGACGTTTCATCTCACGAACTTGTGCAGCCAGTCGTTCCTTCTTATCAAGATTGCGTTGACGTAATTCACTTTTTCTATTAATACAATTAAACAACGAAATTAATAATAACATTTAAACGAGTAGAATTTCTTTTTAAAATTCATCTTTTATAATCGTAAAAGAGAATACTCACGCATCAGGACTGGACGGAGGGCTGTTCGCGTGAAAAGAATTTTCGCTATCGTTGACAATGTCGGCCGAAGATACAGCACCATCGGAATTCTGTTCGTGAATTTTGTTTGTAATTGATGTAGAATTTGTAGGAGGAGGACTTGTAGACGGTTGCGTACACGTTGATGGTTCTCTAGGCAACGGCTTATCCGGTGGTCCACCTAATTCATCTGCTGTTAAATATTAAGAAAGATATTATACAAACCATCGATACCGAATTTTTTTCTTCTTCCGTAAATGACAATAAAAATCACCGTTTGCGGTATTCGTATTAGCAGTTAATTCTGCAATCATGCTACGTTGTAAAGATTCTCCTCTCGGTGGTGGCAAAGGTGGAGGCTCATCTTCTTCCTCTATTGATGAGTTATTGATGTTGTTAACGACATCGTAATGATTTGTTACTATTTCATTGTTGTCGACATTCTGTAAATCACAATTGATTTAGAAAAGAGTAATCGTTATGTAGTATCACAGTAGAACAATGCTATTAGAATGTTAAATATTATAACGATAGAATAATTACTGTTATACAAGAAAACCATATGCATATAGATGATCATATTATTTGTTGACATATTTCATTTTATAATCAGATATAGCTAATAGCATTGTGCTACTGCGAATTGGTATTAGTTACCACGTTATTAGACGGCAATTGTTTAGCTCCTTCAATAATGGCAGCGTATGAAAACCGTAATTGATCGGGTGTTTGTATTAAACCCATTCTGGATTTTCTCATTTCCATCAAAACGTCTCGTACATTTACTGAATTCAAACCATTCTCTTCTATCTGCAGAGAAATAAATTAATACAATTTCTGAGATATTCGTTCGTACATAATATTTCGGAAATATAATTTAATCTTGCTGTATAATATTTAATATAAATATATCGACTTACTAAAACGAGGCATGTATCTACTAAGCAAAATGTTCCCGATCTTCCAATACCAGCAGAACAATGAACAACAGGTGGCCCAACGTTTTGATTTAATACTCCTGATTGTCTAACATCTGCTAAAAAATGTAAAAAGGCTGTAGGACTTTGAGGCACGCCAAAATCAGGCCAAGTAATGTAATGGAAGTGTAAAATATCTCTGCTTTCCAATGTTTCCAAATCTGTTATTCTAAAAAACGAAAGAAAGGAAAAAATAATGAAAAATATCTTATGTACATCGAAAATATATAATTAATCATACAAATAACATATATACACTTGTTTTACCGTAATGTTCTTGTGGTATAATCTGGGGTCTCTGTTTTACTAATGTACTCTACTTTAAGACCGACATCTGGGAAATTCATGATACTATCCGTACTGTCCAGAGGCCAATATTGATGACACTTGACATGATCTTTTTCTATAATCTTATTTAACATTAATACCGCTTTACTATTTTGTTCCCATACCATTAGCCAGAAATGACCAGCGGTAGATGGCAGTGGTCCTTGTGTTAAAATGTATTGTCTGTGTGCACGATCCACCTAAGGTAACAAATAGTATATTGAACTGTTTATAAGTTTGTCGCTGAACATCTATCAATATATAAATACCTGTATCAGATTGGCATTAATATAATCGCATGGGCCCCTTTTAAGAACGATTCTGGTATGATCATAAGGAGACACATCTCTGTAACGATTCAAGTTCCTATTTTGTCGTTTTTTAGATTCGTTAAAGGTGTATCCATAATTGCCACATTCATTTCGTATATGCTGTTAAAGATTAACATTGTTTTGATTAATATTAGTAATACTCGTTAATAAAAAATGAATGAAATCTATCTAGAGTTTTTGGTTACAAATGGCATTAATGACTACTCGTAATAGTAGACAGACATGCAGACAGACAGACAGACAAAATGCACGATGATCAGCGTTTGATACGAACGAGAGTTTTATGCACTCGTTACACATATACAATCCAGAAGAAAAATAATCGTAAACGTGGTTGCTTTTGGTTTTTTTGATTGTCCTCGTCATGGTCACGTACTCGTCGTTACAAAATTTGCTTTTTTTTATTATTATTATTTTCATTCGCGTAATTTAACCTAAGGGGTGAGGAGGAGGAAGAGAGAGGCGGGGAGGGAAGAAGGAAGGAAGGAAAAAAAGAAAGAAGAGGGGGGGGCAGCAGAGGGAGGAAAAGCGAGACGAGGAACGTTTAGACGAGTTTGATGAATGAATAAAAAAAAGAGGAGCGGGGTGAGGTAAAGGAAGACAGACATAGAGAGAGAGAGAGAGAGAGAGAGGGGAAAAAAAGAAAAAAAAAAGAAAAAAAAAGAAAAAGAGGAGGAAAAAAATAGTTGACGATTACCTGATAAAGAATCGGCCAAGCTTCTTTCGAGGTGATCTCCAGGTACTCGGTTTCGACGTTGCTTATCGCGGTTTCGCGCGTTTGCTGCTCTTGGTTGTCGGTCATCGTGTCGGGGCCTCCCTCTCTCTCTCGCTCCCACTGTTGGGTAATTTTAACGATGCGTGGTTTTCGGCGCTCGCAACGAAAAGGAGAAGAGGAATAAAGGAAGAGGAGAAGAGGCGCGAGAGGAAACACGAGAGGAGGAGGCGCGCCAAGAGGCTGGGCCCCGCACGATACCTCTTTTCTCTCTCTCTCTCTCTCTCCCCCCCTCTCAAGGCTCCTTCCCTCTCTCTTCTTCTTCTTCTTCTTCTTCTTATTCCTTCTTTCCTCCCTTCTTTCCTTTCTTTCCCTTTTCCTTGGAAAAAAAAAGGTCTCACTCTCTCAACCGGTAAGGGATGCCATGCGCGAGCCGGACATCCGCGCGAAGGTTATCCTGCCCCCTTTCCTCCCCAACCCTTTTACGTTCTTTTAAACAACTATGTACGACAAACTACGATAACCAACCAATTAAGCAACCGAATTCTCAAGTTCTTATTTTTTTCTTTTTTTATTATCCAAACAAATTATCTTTCTTATTATTTTTCTACGTCAGAGACGCGTTCTAAATTCACTTCACGATTTTGTATATCCCTTTCACAATACCTAAATTCATTAACGTAAAACTATATATCACTATGCACCGGCTGCATCAAGCACTTCAGATTACACACGATCGACATTAACCTCGCTTCCTCGATTCTTTAAAACACTGTTGACATCGACCTCGTCCTCGTCCTCGTCGTCGTCGTCGTCGTCATAAAACCCGAGTTATGCTACTGACATCTGCAGTCATTTGAATTTAACTGTCAGAGTGAAAAAAATGTTAAGTGGGGGGTACGAAGATGACCGTATTTCAACGAATGACAACTTCGTCTTCACCGCGCTACTTTTGATTTTACCAATCATTGGTAACGCGCATCATTTGAAATTACGAAATCATTGAGAACTAACTTAAATGGAAATTCTTTTATATCATTGATATCTAAGTTTTTCTTAGAAACGTTATTACTTTTATTTCTTTCGATAATATCATATTGATTCATCCAATCAACGATATAGAAGTTTTACTTGGAAACATTCATTAGTTTTATTTTTTTTTCTTAATATATTATTTAATCTTTACGCGGAAATTAACGTTAATAGAATCATTCGATCGTTATATATATAAGATATATATATAGGAAATAAATGTTTCCACAATGGTGCATTATAGCATCATCTCTTAAAAATCAAACAAAATTACACGTATGGTAATGGGACCTTCATGTTGATGGGGAATCCAAGCAATCCTCTGAAATTACTTCTTTGCCTCGCTATTTACATACTAACAGAGAATTGTTTGTGTTCTCAGAAGTATACGTTTCTGATAAATGTTTACTTTAATGAGAAATTTATTATATGAAAATATTAGGATAATGTTTAATAGGAATAAATATTTATTATACGATTTAAGATTTCTTTAGTATTTTCGCAGGTACCTCATCTTCGTTTATCTTGTCTCCGCTAGAATCACTGTTAGTTGAATCGTTGCCACTATTAGATTTTCCACCAGACTCTCTTTTCAGCCAGGAAGCCATAAAAACAGCAGAGCTATTCTTTTGCTTCTCCCTTTATATAATACAATTACAGAATCAATACCCTGACACGTTACTTTATCCATTCGAGCATACATGTTCCATTATTATATTGTGAAAATTACATAATCTTATGTACATATATATATATATATATATATGTACATAAGATTA